AAAGCTGGACGTGCCACCTATGGTGGGCCAAGAAAGAAACTTAGAGGACTTAAACTACAAGGATAAAGCTTTAAAATTATATATAATTTGGTCTGTAAATAGATCATACAAGACCTTTTAATGGCCTTTGAATGGGTTGTTACAGCTGTTCAGTAGTTTGCATTGCATTTTTGACAAAATAGCCCAAACTCTTGTAAAGCTGGAAGTGCCGCTTATGGTGGGCCAGGATAGAGAATTGGAGGAATTAAAATACAAGGATAAAGCTTTAAGTTGATGTACATTACGATTTGTAAGTATAGAAATTATAGCAGACCTGTTCCATAGGCCACTGAAGTTGACCTTTATTTTACTTCTGTAAAAGGAATGCAAAGTACTTTATTTCAACAGGTCACTATTCAGACTTAAATGTAACAAAATTACAAGAAATTAATATTTTCCAAGAGATTAATGGACCATCTGCGAGCATACAAAATTTAAAAGCGGGATTGCAATGCATTGTAGTGTACGAAGTTGCAGGAGTAGCATAATTTTTCATTGTTTTACAGGGGGACAACGATTGTTAAGGTGTATTTCAAACTTTTCAGTTTTTCAGAGAAAAAAAAGAGCCATAGAACTTGTTGATATAACTTTTGAAAAAGGTTCATTAAAAGGGTCCCTTAGAAAAAATAAAACGAATAACGAAATTTTGCAACTGTCGGCGGATTCTCGATATTTATGGTCAGTGGCTCTTAACTTTTAATTCTGTGAGCTAACTTTTTTGTAACATGGAAATTTCAGGTGTGGAATAGTATAGATGGCACAGAATATGTCAATTTTACCGGTCATGCAGATATTGTCCGCTGTTGTTCTTATTCTCCTGATGGTTCGCGAATTGTGTCTTGCTCCGATGACACTCTTGTCAAGGTATTGTGGCACAGACATCAATCCCAAACACCTTTTCAACATTTGAGCAATCGTCAGAAATTCAAACCTCAGGGCAGCCAGGAGCTTAGACTTTTCAGAGAAAACCTACAATGAATTGAATCAATAGTAAAGGTTTCTAAGAATGGGTTTACAGTACAAAATATACAGTCAACCATCTTTAGATTTTTAAAGGGGATAACTTTCTACTGCAGAAACTCTGCTGCTGCATCAGTGGGGGTACTGCAAGATAATTTGGTTTTATCAACTAAGTTGGTAATGTAAACTGGCTTCTGTAAAGAATCGGTAAAGCTGATGTTCAAGGGTCCTTGCTCTGATAAAGGGTTAACACTTGACTCTACAGCTTTAGAAGCTCTCTACAGTTACATTTATTAACTCGGTTGATAAAACAGAATTACCTTGTTCATACTAAGCCAAATACATGTAAGAGAGGGAGCACATCTAGGGAACTTCCCTCTGACCACAGTTGCTCAATTGTGACTCCTGAATGTGTTTTCACATGAGTGTCAAGTTTGTTGTTGGGTTTCCTCCTTGTTCTGAGGAATTTTCTCTGGGTTCTCTGCTTTTCTCTCCTCCACAGTAAACCAAGGTGTTAAATTCCTATTAAACTTAGAAACGGTGGGTAAAGAGTCATCCAGTGAATGTGCCTCTGCAAAATTAAGAAACCAGTTTATTCATTCCTTCTATTAATAGGTTTCAGAAGTGTATTATAAGATATTTAAGATGGTATACTCACTCTCATTGGTCAAGGGGTGTGTTTGGATAGGAATATGTACACATTCAGGGGGGGTAAGGAGAATTCAAGATAGTTAGCCAAACCCTCTACTGTGTCTCGCATTTGCACAACTGTTTCAAATTCTCCCAACATTGCTTGTGTTCAATTGATTATGATGCTATGTAATTAAGGTTGAAAGTTTCAAAACCTGAGGCTTATGGTAGTGATGGTTGTTATGGAGGGTCCTCTGTTAGCTACAAACAACCATCATTCATTAACATGTGTTAAATTGGATTGTTTTTCTTTGTACCTTACAAGGTCTGGGATTCAATATCAGGGCAAGAGTTATTTACCCTTGAGGGAGGAACATCCAGTGCAGTGACATTTTGCTGTTTTAAGCCAACTTCACAAAATATAGTTTCAGTTTCAGATACCGTTGCCAAGGTTAGAACACAAGTTTTATAATTATTCATGTTAGATTTTATAGACTTTTGTAGGATAATCATGATTTGAAACTAGAAAGTGAAAAATTATTTCAACAGGTCTGAAGCTCTCCAACAGTACAGCAATTGTTACAAATAGTTTTTTTCCTTATGGAATTTGTAGCAGTTGAAAAATAATTTTTCTGATATTCTTTGGAACTCAAATTTGAATCATGAGTAATAGCTTATGTGGACTGAGGGTCAACCCTTTGACCATTAAGAGTGACTAACATCTAATTTCTCCTTACAATATCATCCCTGAATCACATGATAAGGTCAGGAGAATAAAGGAAATGATCACCAGCTAAAGTAAGCTCTTATTGTTAAACAAATTCTCCTTGTTGGCACCTTAAGAAATGTATAGGGAACTGTATGGAGAATATGCATACTGATGTTAAGAGTGTAAATGGTTAAGGCCAGGTATAAGGAACTTTTCTTTCTCCATTGCTTTCCCATTTTCATGTTGGCCAAATTCTTGAAGTTCCAGGGTTACTTTTTATGCCAAAAGTCTAGAGTTTCCTTTGAAAAAGGTGAGCAGTATCCTAAATCTACTAACCAGGATGAACAAATTTTATTTCTTCACTAGATTTGGGACTCCAAAACTGGTCAAAACTTAAAGACCCTTTATGCTTCTTCCACCACTCTCTCATTAGCATATTCACAAGATGATAGCATTTTAGTGATGGGTCTGTCAGATACAACTGTACAGGTAGGCTTTCAATCTCACATATTTATTTCAGAAATTTCATACAATTCAAAGCACCTCTTTAAATTTTTTTTTTTGAAACTTGATTAAATTCTTAAAATCCTTTACTCAACTACACCTGCTTAAGGTGGCTGAACACAGTTTTTGATACCTGTGTTTCTTTCGCCATTTTCTCTAAAACCCTTGACCTCTCAGTCGCCAAAACTGGCAGCAAGTAAGTTATCAACGCAAACTTTGTTTTTTTGATAGTTGAGGTGACGTCTGTGCTGTTGCCATGGCGACATGGATAAATATAAAGAGGCCTTTAAAATTGGTTTTGTTTATTTGTACAAAATCTAGTTATTAGATTTTGTTAATAATTTGCATGCTATGAACTTGTATCAATACTCACAAGTTAACACCATTTTGCTAACAATTTAACAGAGAGATCTCTAATTATCCCTTGTTAAAGATTCACTTGATTATCTAGAATTTCCTTTGTTGAAAATCAAATTTTTTCAATAGTCCAGGTACTAATTTCCTAAAGTATTTTCATGCCAAATTTCGCAAAATTCTAATGAGTGGTTCTCAAGAAATGGGCATATTTCCGAGAAAGCAATTTTCCATTCAATCGCAGTTTTTTACTTACTACGCATGCGCTGCAATTAACTGGGTTCTTTCGGTAATGACAAAAAAGCTGAGAATTGCGGGGTTAAGTTCGTACCGTTAACTTTTCTAATATATCTTTGTAATAAAAGATTAAGCTCTCAATACACTGCGGCAACTTTTGAGAAAAATAGCACAGATAGTGCGGGTATGAGTTCAGTAAACAAAATGACTGCTCTATTGATGGCATGTTTGTTTTTTGCAACCCTTGTGCATGCGCTGAATCCGCAAAAGCACACGCAAAAACTGTTCGACCACTGAAATACTGGCCTTTAACTTCCACAAGTGATTAGCATGTAACTTCTCCCCATATTATCCATACATTATCCAGCAAACAGGTAGTGAGAGTACTCAAACTTATCAGGTTGAAGTTATCTTGATCTAACACCAAATTCTTATAACTAATTTACAAGGAAATGTGTGGTAGCTCAAGGCGAGGATTTACAATCAGATCATGAGATTAAAGGGTTGAATTTGATTTGTCTAGAATTTTAAACATGATAATTGTAACCAAGTACTTGACACTTTTGTTGGTTAAATATCTGTCACCTACGACAGATGTACTGACCAAAAGAGGAATTTTTTTCTTATTTATTTTTTTTTTTACAGCTGTGGAATACAGTCAATGAAGGAAGCATAGGTGTGTACCGAGGCCACTCAGGTTGGGTTCACTGTGTTGCCTTGTCACAGGATGCCAGCAAGTTGGTGTCATCCTCCGATGATGAGACTGTTAAGGTAAGGTCCTGGCAAGCACCACATTGCAGTATTTTTAAATTTTCACTGATTAGTGTGATTTGTTAATGATCCTAAATTTCAGTTACTAACAAAACTGTAGATCTGGAAAGTTGACAGGACCAATGTTCAAGAGTCCCTGAAACTAAGGATGGTGTTTGATGTGATGTTCAGTGGGGATTCCCTGACTATTGCCATTACAGACATGTCTAACAGGTTGATGGTAAGTAAGGTTAGCTAGTTACTGAAAAAGAAGGGCAACCCCAAAAGCTGGAATGGTGGAATGACAAAATGGGGCAATGGTGGAAAATTAAGCAAAATCCTAAAAGACAAAATTATAAAATAATAGAACACACATTCCACTAAAGGATAAAGACAACAGGCCAATTTGTACTCAAAAAGTAGATGAAAAGCTTGCAGATATAAATGGGTTAAAAAGCCGCTATGAATTAATTTTTTCCATTATTTGGGTTGATTGTTATGGCAATAAATAAATTACAAGTGCATTCTGCTTGATGCAGATCTGCTTAGTCACAATAATTCCAACAAACTGAACAGCCAACAACATGAAGATATTGCTACATTATGAGCAAACTAAGATCATGATTTAATAGTAATAATAATAATAATATTTATATAGAGCACACATCAAAAGCTTCTCGGGGCACTTTACAATACCATAAAATAATAAAATAACCTAATGCACATAGATAAAATTCAATCAAACAGAAGAGAATTACTAGTTACAAATTTTGAAAAGAGAAAAGTCTTGATGTTCTTTTTAAAAATAGTTACGGAGTAAGATTTACGAATTGAAAAAGGAATACTGTTCCACAACTTGGTGCGCACACAGAAAAAGCTCTGTCCCCGTAGGTCTTTGACTTTGACACAGGTTGCACAAGATAGTCCGTAGAGCTAGAAAACATAAAGATCTTGATGATAACTTGATCTTAAGTAGATCAGAAACATATGATGGACAGAGACCATTGACAGACTTGTACACCAGCAACAGAAGCTTGAACACAGTACGATAAGATATAGGAAGCCAGTGAAGCTGCACCAGTAAGAGAACGACGTGATCATATTTGCCCTTGCAAGTGACAAATCGAGCAGTTGTATTCTGTATTTTCTGTATTTTATTATAAGTTGATGCTTAGGTAGGCCATAGAATAGATGATTACAATATTCAATATGCAAACCTTTGAGGTACAGTCACTAGTCAGATAACGACGTATCCTGAACAGATTTCTTAGGTGAAAGAACGAGGTTTTGCAGAGATGTTTAATTTGATCATCAAAAGTCATGTTGTTGTCAAATATAATACCAAGGTTGGTAACTGACCTAGCAATGGAGATATTTTCATTTCCAAGAATAATGTGATCAAGCAAGACTCCATTTTGGAATTTAGAATGAATTAAGGATACATTGGTCTTATCCTGATTTAATTTCAAGTCATTATCATCCAGCGGCAATCTCAGTCGCGCATGGTTTACACTCTGAAATTAAATTCTTGAGAGGAAAAAGGGTTGGTAAGCTCAATTTAGATCTTACTAACTTACATATGCGACCAAGTGACTGCTGTGATGTACCAAAGGAAGTCATTGACTGCCCATATCCATTGGCTGGGTGTGGGTAATATTTTATGTAGTTCTCTCTTAAGGATTTGGGGTGATTTTCTGCCATTCTGTAAAATTTCATACAATTTGGGGTAATTTTTTGACTGTTCTGTCATTCTGCTGTTGTGGCCTTTTTGGTTGGGCCAATGTAGGTCAGAGTATTACACAGGTCCAACATAGGTCATTCTTATATGACCCAGTATTGTTAGGTGTAGTTGAAGAAAAAGTAAGTGACTGGATTTGCTTTAAACCTTTGAGATGAAACTTTAGCATGTGAAAATTCAGGTTCAAGATACTGTAAGAAACTTTTATGTCCACTACTGGGACTACATAAGTGGGGTTCATTACTGCAAAGATTGCTTTCATACATTTCATGAAACCATAGTTTGCATATATGATTTTCAAATATTCAAATTCATTGATTTACCACTTTGACAGGTTTAATATGAACCAACATAATGACCAGCTCCCAGTTGGCTTGATAGCTCAGTTGGTAGAGCACTGCACTGGTATCACAGAGGTCATGGGTTTAAATCCCGTATGGGCCTGAATTTTTTTTGGGCCTTATTTCCACTACTACATGTTAAATAGGTTACTGCAAGGATCACTTTCATACATTTGGTACTTGTTATTATATCTTGAACAGAGTGGTTCTCACTTTGTCTGTTTATAAACTGTCATAAGTGACAATTCAGTTAAAGTATCTAAGCAGTTGTTCTTTAGTTTGGTCTGTTTACTATGTTGCATGAAGCTGGAAGATTCTTCCTGTTCCTGCTGCTTGGGTGAAATCCATCTATTTTCAAAAGTCAATAAATATGGTTTGCTTCTTGACACTGTGAAATTACAAGAAATCTGTGAAACCTCTTGTATTTGGTCACCTTAACTTCATGCTGTAACTTATTAGCAGTTATTCCTTATATTTCCTTTTAGGTATTTGAAGGCGAAAACACCAAACTGTTATCACAAAGTGAAGTCAACCAGATAAAAATTACTAGCATTAGTTTCAACAGTGATGGACATCTGGTTGCTACTGGCTTTGATGATGGATGTGTGAAGGTAAACATAATTACTATGTACTATATTACTCTGACTCAGAGGGGATTGAACTGGTTGGTGGTTTTCAGTTTGGAATCACTTGACATTAGACTGTATTCTGATATAGTTGCCTCCTTTCCACATTTTAGATATTAGAGAAGTCAACATGCAAAACAATTCAAGAATTTAAAGAGCATTGTGGTCGTGTTAGGTGGTGTGCATTCAACAAGGGCTCTGAACTATTAGTGTCAGTTTCAGAAGATTGCTCTGCCAAGGTATACATACAACGTTATATTTTTAGTTTGTTAATTTGCCCTTGAGTTCCAAAGAGGATCATACTGTGAATAGTTTGTGGTAATTATTAAGCATTATATGCAATCCAGCATGGCATTGCACTTAAAATTCCACTTTCAAAGTAGCCAATATCTGTATTAATCCTTTACTCCTAGAAGTGATCAATATGTAACTTCTCCCTGTAACATCCATACATTAACCAGCAAATAGGTAAAGAGAATACTCCAACTTATTGGGTAGAAGTTGTTATGATAATCTTGATTGAACACCAAATTCTCCTAACTAATTTACTAGGAAATGTGTAGCAGATAGAGGGGAGAATTAACAATCAGATCTTGAGAGTTAAAGGGTTAATGTATTTTAGCATCCACAATGATACCAACAAATTTTAACTTAAAAGGTCATTCTTGATAATTTAACAACAATTTTGTTCTACCAATGGAGGTTCCCCTTCAATAAAATAATGTTTCAGCTGCCTCTTTTCTCCTGCTTTGTCTTTTCATCTCAGTCAAAAATTGAATCAGCAAAACAGAAATCATCTCTAGGTGAGTTTGTCCCTCTAGTTCCTAGTCATCAGGGTTGTAGTTGCACAGATATACTTTACAGTCTGACACTGCTGTACAGTTCATTGAGCATTGCAGATTAGATAAAGGCTGATAGTTTCTAAAGAAACTGTTTGGGGCTGCGTCGGTGGGGGTAACGAAATAATATGAATATATCAACAAAGTTGAAATGGTAAATTGGCCACCATTATGATTATAAAAGCTGACGTTTCGAGCATTAGCCCTTCGTTGGAGCGAATGGCGAATGTCAGCTTTTATAATCATAACAGTGGCCAATTTACCATTTCAACTTTGTTGATTTATTCATATTATTGCAGATTAGAATTTAGCAACTTTAAAATTTTTATCCTGAATCAAGGTCTACAACTGTGTGGACGGCACTTTGGCATTCTCTTTGGAAGGCCACACTGCAAGGATACAAAAATGTGTGTTCTTCCATCACAAGCATCGGCTGCTGCTTACAGCTTCTCGAGATGGGTCTCTTAAGGTATTTTGTTACTTGGAAATAAAGTCATTTGTAATTTTGCTGTACAGCAAGGTTCCATTATCTGGAGTCCTACATGTTGTGGGCTTCCCCTCATTAAGAACTCAATTTTCTTTAGAGATATAAAATGTTTTTACAGTTGTAACATTCCTGTAAAAATTAAGTCATCATAAGATCCTCAGCCAAACTTTTTTCAAAGTTTGCATTTGGCAAGCTTTGACTGTGAATGGTGTCAGAAAATTTCTAAGTGAACTCTCAGATGAGCAGTGTCCACAGGTTCCCCCCCCCCCTCCCCAAAACTACAGTCTCACTAATTCTCAAGGAAAAAAAAATATGGGAAAGGACATTCTGTGTAATTGGTTACAAGCAAATCTTAGTCTCAATTTATTTTAGATTTAGACCATAAACTGTGTGTAATCAAACTGTTATTAAAGCCAGGGTTACATGAGAGTTAAATGCAGGTCTCCAAATGGTACCTTAATTTTGTTCAAATTTAGTTGCCATTTTTTTCCTTCCTATTGGCCCAGAGGCAACCAAACATGTTGGGGTCTGGAGCTCTATGTTCAACTTAGGAGTCAGAGAAAGTGTTGTCACCACTACCCCAGCCCCGCCTCGCCTCCTTAACCATTTCACTCCCACCAGTGACAAAGATAAAATTTCTCCTTATATCATCAGTACAACATCAAGCAGACTAGTGAAGAGAATAAAGAAGAACATCAATGAGGGAATTAATAGTTGATCCAATACTAAATTCTCTGAATTAACTTCATAAGAATTGTATGGCAGATGGTAAGGAGTGAAAAGATGAAATGTTGGTCTCCTGGATCAAGGCAATTTGTTTATCATGCACTGTTAAAATTAATTAATTAATTCATAGTAAATTTTGTAGGTTTGGGATGTACAGAGTGGATCTCTTCAGTTTTCATGCCAACACAGCAGTGAAGAGTATGTTCTTTCCTGTGATGTTTCTCAAGATGACAAAAAATTATTGTCAGCTTCGGTGGATAAATATGCTAAGGTAATCATACTCTGTCACTCCCTTTTGTTATTGGGAGGAAGCAACTCTCACTAGCTTTAAGCATGGTGCAAAATTGGTGACTGACTAAAACAGTTTTTATATTTCATTAATTAGAAGTATTGTAGGTCAATAATAAGTATATGGTACAAAGTATATAGCTTTTTTCATTTATTATTAATTATTAGATTTGTAGCCAATCAAATAGCAGCATTTCTGGTAGAATAGTATTAGGTTAACTAACTGTGAGTTATAATATTGATTAGGTGTGGGATTCTTCCACCGGAGAGCTTTGTTGCTATTTTGGGCCACACCCTGATGTTGTGAGGTCAGCATCATTTTCACAAGACAACAGGTTTATCTGCACAGGCTGTGATGATGGAACTGTCAGAGTGAGTTCTTGTAAATAATAGTATCATCTCCTTGCATTCTTTAAGATAATTGGTTTAAAGCAGATTGTTTCAGATTATTAATTGCAAGGGCTATTGTCTCTTTTTAAGGTATGGAATATGTGCGATGGTAAAAAAGAACTTGCCATTTGTAGTAAACATGATGCTTGGGTTGCCAACTGTTGGTTCTCAAGCAACAGTGACCTGTTGGTATCTGTTAGCAACAATATAAAGGTACTTTGCTGTAAACTTCATATTTTTTTATTAATTACATTTTAATTCCATTTAACCATCAGATTATGAGTTCAAGACATCCATTGGGTGATAGTTGTTGTGGGAAAAGCCTAAATCAGCTGTAGAAAATCAATAGAAAATATTGTAGTTGTTTTAGTACAAGTTTACTAGTTTATTTATTTTTATTTAGTCCAATTTTACTGCATTAAGTTTTTGCAGTGGGGAAGGAGTAGAAAGGAACATAGGAACCATTCGTGCTAGTCCACCCTCCCACCCCAGGGGAGGACATCCATCACACAGTAACCTCGTGTGTTGGAAATTAACGTCTCCTACCCCAACCCTGCAGGAGACGGGACCTCCATTTGTTCGTCCCTATCTGAGAAGACTAGAATATCTAACTATTTCTTGATGTTATAGGAAGGTAGCAAATTTGCCTCAATTATTTAAGACCCTGAGTGTTGGTCCGGCCAGGGCTCAAACCCTCGACCTCCTGCACAACAGTTCAGCCCTCTATCCATTGAGCTAACCGGGAGGCAGTTGTTTGAAACCTTGCAAGACAGGCTTATGTTTATGTGTGTTTTAGCTTTCACCCGCACAATGTTAACCCTCTAAAACCCCAAGGGTGATTGGCATCTTACCGTTACTTCTCCTTACAATACCACCGTTGAATCAACCATTAAGGCCCTGAGAATTAAGGGACATAATCATTCACGAGGGAAGCTCTTGATTATTAAACATTCTCCTTGTTAGCACCCTAGGAAGTGTATGGAGAAAAGTATGGAGAATGTGCATACTGACATTAGGGTGTAAAGTACTACAAATACAGTAAACACCCGCATATAAGAACCTAGAATTTTTGGGTTCAGGCTGAATGGGTTCTTATATTTTGGGGTAGTTTTTCCGAACTCAGGCTGATTAGGTTCTTAGTAGGTTCTTATTTGTAGGAGTTGTCATAGTGATACCATTCAGAGAACTACTGTAGTACTAGTATGTCATAATGGTTGAACATTTGTATTTTAAACAGCAAAAATGCCAAGCCTTACTTTTTTAAAGAAACCACATGCAACCTGAACATTTTAGAAGTTATTGAATGTCAGGATTGAAATTCCTAAATGATTGAAGCACAGAAAGAACAAACATTTTGGGTATCACTGTTACAGTTGGACTGAAAAAGACAAGCAGTAATGTGTATTTCACAGGAGCAAAAGTCAGGGCACTCTACAGATTTAAGTCCCAAGGCTGCACCAGTATAATTTTATACAGTATTCTATACTCTGTATTTATAAGATTTTCAATTAAACAAATAATTTTCATGGTGTTTCTCAGAAATTTCACAATTTCTATCAATTAAAATCCAGTATTTTGGCTACAAAATAAGAGTGTTTTTTTGTATAAGAACCTATTGTTCTTTGCCAGCCTAAATAGGTTCTTATATATTTGGGTACTAAAATGCCCAATTTCAGCCTATAGGTTCTTAAATCACTAGGTTCTTATACGCGGGTGTTTACTGTATTACAGAGAAATGAGTATGGTGGCAAATTAAATTGCTGTTAATTTTAGTATAACATGGGCAGATTTAAACTAATTCACATTAGTTGGTTGGATCTTGGGATTTTTTTAAACTTTTGTACAATAATTTTTCTTTTATGGTTCAGTTTTGATCTATTCTTCTCAGCTGTTCTCTCAGATTAATTCTAAAACCTCAGTTATTTTTTTTTTTATTTTTTCATTTAGTGGTGGAAAAGAGATGGGACTCTTTGTCAACAATTTAACCTCAAAGGAACCCAAGCCAAAAGTATCCATGTCTCTCCAGATTTCTCTACTTTTGTATCAGTGGACAACATAGGCACAACTTATGTACTCAAAAGAATCACTAGGGCAACTTAAGAGCTGACTAGATACATGTTACAACCTCCAGCAAGTGAACCAAAATCCAACAGAATTTGACAGAATGGACAGATTTTGCACTTCAGAGAGCTTAGTTTGACTGTAAATATTTTGGCTGTTAATGGATGCCTGTGGGTATTGAAAGTGGTATATCAAGAAACCTAAGTCTAAAGTCTGGTGTCAAGTCACTTGGACGAGACCCCAAAGATTTGCAGTCAAGAGAGTACATTTGAAGAGAATCAGGTTGCACCTTACTGTGATGGATTGAAAACTTAATTCCTGCTTAATCTTATTGAGAGAATTATCAGATTTATGACTTGAAGTTTTGATGTTATCAAAACATGGTTCATGTCCTGAGATGATTGCTTGTAATTTTTGCAAACAAGTTAGGCCACACAACTTAGTTAATGCATTAAACATCAAATTCAGTCAGAAAATCCAGTATTGGTTTGATTTCAATTGAAGCTGTTTGCATTTCAAGCAGTAGATAGCAAGGTGTTTTTGCCATCTTGTTATTCTTGCTAGTAATTTAGCAAAGTACAGACCTTTAAAATAGCAGGGCAACTGAACTACTCCAAGGCTTTTGTAATATATCAATTAGATCAGACACTCCTTAGTCAAATTCTACTTGTTACAGAAACGACTCCTCATGAACTCCAAGTCTAAAATTGCTTTCATTAAGCTGACAAAAGGTGGCATTATTAAGGCAAAAAGACATTTTTAGTATACTTGAGAATACATGTACCAGAGTATGAAAATGATCTGGTGTCAAAGATACACTTAAAATATTTTGAAGATAACCTCTGCAGTTTTGTTCCTTGTACTTTAGTTTGTTTGTTTTTTCTTGCTTAAAGCTTTCCAACTGTTGCACAGATTAAATTCTGCATCATTATTTTTCAAAAACCAAATGCCATTGCTCTCACTTTGTTGCACTCTTAAATTAAATCTACAAATCAGAAATGTGTATGCTGTTTCATTTCAAATAGTCTGCACAATAAAACTGCTTAGTTACAATGAAATTTTAAAAAAAAGTTATTGAGGGAAGTATTTGTACCAGACCATTACTTATTTGATAAAAGAAATTGTGTGCAGTGTTTTGTGGGTTGGAGTTGATGTTAAGAGCTTCTCCAAACTTTATTTGCCAAGTTCTGATGGAGTCTTTTAGAAGAAAGAAAGTTTAAGGTCTCTTTTACCAGCAGAGGTGTTGAGACAACTTTCTCAACTTCAAGGTTGTGATCCACCAAACATCTCATTTGACAACAAAAAGTTACATCACACCACTGATTTACTTGAAGGATGTTTATTTTTCATACTATTAACAATGATCTTATTTAAATTGTTCACTGCTGAGTTGAACCTCCAAATCCACCACGGCCACGGCCAAAACCAGCCCTCTGTCGGAAAAAAAAAAAAAATATGCTTGCATAACCTCAAAGCAAAACAAAACTAATTATTGGTAACCAGAGAAAGGTGTTGCTTTAAAATGATAGATATCTCTCTGAATGAATGATTTCAATGATGAAAAAAATCCCCAAGTCATATACAAAGCACGTTATCCTAGCAGGGTTGTATACAATAGCCAGCCTTCAGAAAAGTTCCTTAGTTGTTCTATAGGGTGTTACAGGAATATCAGTCCTCATCTAAACATGCAGCTGAGACAATGGTGGTTCAACTGAGAAACTTGATATTTAATAGTGTCTAATATTTAGTAACATGCTCAAAGCTCAAAGAACAAGGCCCAGTCATTCAAAGGCAAATAACACTACCCAATGGTTGATTGTTGACAAAAACATACTACACAATCCACTGGACAGAGATTCACCTTGTTGTTAGTGTTATTCACCCTTTGAAGAACTGAATCCGGTACTTAGCTCTTTATTTGTTACAATTGAGTGAACAAAAACTTTAAGCATTAAGTTCAAAGGGGGAGACTTACAAATTCAGGCTTGAAGTCTGAGCCAGCTCCACCTTTTGGTTCCGTACCAGGGGCAGGACCACGCCTGTAAGCCTCACGGTCAGCAGAGTCACCAGATGGAGGGCCACGGGGTTGGTCTGGACCTATAAATGTGGATTGAAGTTGGAAAAAAAAAAAAAAAAAACTTGAATTTCTGCTCAATTCCCAAAATATTAAAATAGAACTTGATACACCATGATATAATATTCCCATTATTTTTCCCATTATTTAATATATAGAAAGTAATACAAAAGTTTGGTGCACAGTTTTAAAATCATGGTGTTATCATTGGCAATCTTTAATGGTAACCAAATCTCACTGTCAGTCAAATATGAAACCGTGCCAAAAGAAGACAAACGAAACATTGCCACTGGAAATGGGGCTAGTTGCCTGTGACAATGACACAATTTCAAAATCAAAATGTGGTTGTCAAACTTCCATTATGCCTTCCTCGACTGAAAATTGTTGTATAGTGATTTTTGATGGGTGGCAGTAACTTGAACTTCTGTAAAATTTAAAGATTACTATACATTTGCTGATAGCCAACAAATTCAAAACAGTGTTCAGCTAATTATAGTTTCCTCTTCAATGAAAAGCCTTTAATGAAAACCGTGTGGGGCCATGATAATTAAGCATATGGTGTTGGAATCAACACAAGAGTAAAAAAAATTGGGAACAGAGAAAATTTATTAAGAAAAAAAAATGTGAGGTCCAACAGTAACTTTTCACTTCCAGAAGTAATATACAAGTAGCTTCTTTCTATAATATCAAAACAGGTGAGGAGAATACTCGGACTTATCAGGTAGAAGTTGCTTTTTGGTCTAACACCAAATTCTTATTTGTTTGTTTCTTTTGTTTGTTTTATAGATTTGTACAGTGTACAGGTGAGAGAACAATAGGACACGTAGTCCCCTACTAGGTTCACCCACCTAAACCAACCCCAACCCACCCATCCCACCCCAGGGGAGGACATCCATCACACAGTAATTTCATGCATGGGAAATTAACATCTCCTACCCCTAACCCTGCAGGAGACGGGACCTCCATTTATTCGTCCCTATCGGAGAAGACTAGAAAATCAAACCATTTCTTGATGTTATAGAAAGGTAGCATATTCTTCGCAATTATTTTAAGACCTTGAGTGTTGGTCCGGCTGGGGCTCAAACCCTCGACCTTCTGCACAACAGTCCAGCGCTCTATCCATTGAGCTAACCGGGAGGCAGTTGTAACTAATTTTCAACGAGATGTGAAGCAGTTGGAGGGAAGAATAAACAATGATCACATCATGGGAATTACAGGGCTAACAAACCAACACACCTTTAGGTCGCGGTCTAGCTGTTTCAGTCCTAGCTTGTCGGCGAAGAGTAGCTGGTACAATCTCAGGAGGAAGGTGAAGGAATTCTCTGATGTATGTGATTCCTGAAAACAAGTCATTTTAAATGTTTGATTATGACATGAAATTAAGCTGAGCATTAATGAAGCATTATCCCCATGATAATTTCCCCTCATCTTGTACAACACGATGAGTGCACATTTATAGTTCAAACTCCAAGTATTTTACAAATTAAAAGCACATTCTAATTTTTAAGAGCAATATTCAAGTTTGAATAAGGCCTTAGGGGCCTAATTATTTAAAGGACAATGATGCTATCCAACAGGTAGTTACCAAAACATGCTGCCCTGTCTCCCAGATAGATGCCTAACCAGAGAATAGCCTTTATTCACCCTTTGAACAACCAGGGCTAGTTCTTTAAAATGCTACTCAGGTACAACATACACAGGTTACTGAAATTAGGCTTGGGTTGCATCAAAATTGGTCCTTGCCTTGCTATGGATCAGTAGCTTTCAATCTCAGTTGGTAGTCGCATACAAAAAGTGTCTGGTAAGCACAGATCTCAATCAAACTTCATCATCATTGTTTTCTTATTCTAATAATCAGCTCTTACCTTCATTTGTGAGGTACCAGTAGTACCATTGCCAAGAAAACTTCTCTGTGACATATCCACGAGATTTTAATGACTATAAAATGAAGACATGTTGGTACCACCACTTAACAGTTAAACTTTACCAAGTGATCCCTCACATTAGAAAAAGAAACAGACACTAAGAAAGAGTAATGAAGTAATCAAACCTATGTACACCTAAAAAAAAATCACTATCTAAATGAAATACCTCATCAAAACAACAGCACAATCAAATACATATACATATTTATATATACTTTGAACTATTTATACATATATAGTTCAAAATGACTAAAATGAAACATGCATGATTCCCTGTAACTCCGAGTTTTGTGCTTACGCACTCGTCAGAAAGATTTTTTTAAACTGTATTTCGCTCTACACTCATGTGTATTGAGCACTTTCCTAAAGCATTTGCTACAATTTCACACAATTATATATATATATAGGGATTAAACTTGGTGTCCATGAAACAGTGCTCGATACAAATAGTAGAGCGGGTTATAATGTGTGGTAGGCAGAAAAAAACAACTACATATACATCCCTACCGACCTGTTTCATGGTTGCCCTGATGAGTGGGCAACCACGAAACAGGTCTGTAGGGATGTATATGTAGTTGTTTTTTTCTGCCAACCACACATTATACATATATATATATATATGGTACCAATTTTAAACAGCACAGCTTTTGCAAGGTCTATATCAATTTTTGCATACAAAATCCAGTTCTTTTTCTGAATTTTCAAAAGCCATTTTTTCATATTAAGATCCAGGGATAAAGTCAAATCATGTGGCTAAAATAGCAGAGCAGTTTCAATGATCTGCCATAAAACTGAAATTTCTTGAATTTCTATTAAGGTAATAACTCAGTATTGCACTGCACGTAAAAATCACATAATTAGGCAAATTATGTATCAACTTGTTCTATGCACTTGAGACTTTCTACCCATCAAGTTTTCATTTTCAAGTGTTACCTTCAAAACCCTTGCTTCCAACTACTGCAAAATGCATCATAAACCAATGCAATGATGTGCATGACTAGTGCCAGTACAGGCATAAATGGGGTAAGATTGGCCCAAATACCCACTGTGACCCATCTTTTTTAACGATTTTTTCAAAACAGAAATTGTTAGGAAACATTTAAGAAAGTTTTAAAAAAATTCTTCAATATTTTTTTTTTCTGAGGAATCACCTTTAGTATGTGTAATCAAATGGCGACGAGTGAAATTAGGAAATAACTTCACGCACGTTTTGTCAAAATTCTGATAATTTTGTGAGCCTTTATGCGAGGGAAATTATCAGAATTTTGACAAAATGCAAGTGAAATTATTTTCTAATTTCACGAGAAAACCATTTGATTACCTTTTAATATCGTGGGTGACAAATTACGTTCACAACCCTAATTGTTTTTACTGGTTTATTCTATTGAAAATCGAGAACATGAATATAGTTTTCGTTAAAGCATACATTATTGTTAAAGTTCGTAATTTTCTGAGTTTCTTCACAAAAATTACTCTTCGAATTCTTCCTGCCTGTTAATAATTTTCAGCCGCTTCTTTTAATTTTGTAACTTCTTCAAGGGTCACCATCTTAAATGTCGACGCCATCTTAGCTCTGATCGAGATACAAGAGATGTTACCATGGCAATTTTGTATTTTCACACGTGAAATTAAAAATTAACGCTGAAATTTCATGCCAAAATTAAGGAGTAATTTGTCACCTATGATATTACTTTTGAAAATTGTAGCCTCTACAGTAACTCATGTAAATTCAGCTGCCTTTCAAAGATCTCAACATTGGCATTTGTTTTAGCTTGGAACGAACTTCATACTTCATCCCATTTCCTTCGTTTTCCAGGTCTTGACAATCATATCAAAAGTTCGTTTTCCAGGTCTTGACAATCATATCAAAAGTTTTCGACTTGATTAAAATTCAAGACTTTCTACGACCTCTGTAAATTGGCCACCGTAAAGAGTTAAAAAGCTGATATTTTGAGTGCTAGCCATTGGCCCTGACAAAGCGGTAATGCTTGAAACATCAGCTTTTTAACTCTTTACAGTGGCTGGTTTACTGTTTCAACTTAGTTGATATAACCAAATTACCTTGTTACCCCCACTGGCCCAGCACCACAGTTTCTTTAGAAACTTACCCCCTTTATCCCTACGAGTTCTGTCTTGTGTAAAACAATGTACTTATAAATTTCTGATTTTCATACCTGGGCAGCCTTAATGACCTCCAAGTTTGGAACTCCCTCAACATCAGGATGCTTTGGGAGATTAAAATCCTTTTTAGCCACCATGACTCCCTCCTTAAAGAGGTACTCATAAATGGCTATTCGGTTTTTCTTGGGGATCAACATCCTGTAAAAAAACATCGAGTAATGATTTAAAAATATAGTCCTCTAAACGTCATTCATTAAATGAGATGCTTTAAAATCAAAATTAATCCCGAGGTTAACGATAACGCCTGCTCAACATAAAATCTATTAAAGAAATATAGTAAGCGAAGTAAAATAAATTTCGTAGAAAATATGTTTAACGTGATGAGTTGTTAAGCAAAGGTAACTACATTTTACGAGACATTTTCTAACAATTCTTTACATTTCACAGATAAAATATTCGAAGTGGGAAATTATCTGGTATTTAAAATTTTTCTTTTTATTGAAAATTTGCTTAGTAATGAGAGGATGGCTTAAAATTCCTCCAGATTGACTCCACACTACTCACTTTATTCTCCAAGATGGCGAACACAGTGCTAAGAGAACGATTTAGAGTATGCGCCAGATCTTGTGGCCTAGGTAGCCGAGCCTTTTTGCGGAAACTGGACAATTTGCATATGGCCGTCTGATGAAGTCTTCCAATCACACTCCAAAGCACAAAATTTTAAAGAGATAAATGAGTAAAGAAATATTATTTTTACAAGGGCAATTACCTATATGAAGAAATTAAAAGTATTTTTTGTAACCCTCTTTCATTTCCAGGGATGATTGGTTTTTCACCTCTCCTGGAGATTCCAATGCGTCATCTTGCAAACAGGCTATGACAACAGACAAGCCTATCAGCTTGAGGATGTTATCTTAAAAAAAAAAAAAAACACTGAATTCTCCTCTCTAATTTACAAGGAATGATAAGGCAATCAATTGGGAGAATTACTAATTTGATCTTTGGAGTTGATGGGATAAGAAACAGTTTTTCAGCGCCAATGCATTAATGCTTGCTGAATTCCATCATGGGTTTTATGGCTAGAAAAAGTATATTTTATTTTAATAAATATGATAAATTACTTTACAGAATTCTAAAGTTTTGTTTAACGTCTCTACTTGGATCTTAAACTTAGCTATATATATTAAATACATTGGAAACATAATCACCCAAAATACTGTTACATTTTATCCACCACAAAAAGGAACCACAAGATTAGGATTCTTTTACATTAATTTCCTTGAGGTATATTAATCCCATAAGAACACAATTGACCATTAGTATATTGATAAACAAACTGGATGTCACATGAAGAAAATTAGTTTTGTTTGTGAAATGGGCAGCAATAATAATCTAGTTATATCATTATTTTCCTGGAAAGAATCTTAAAAACAAACAAACAAACATACAAAAACACTGGGAACGAGTATCACCACCCTTTCTTTGAAGGGCACACAAAAAAGATTTTTTCTTCACTAGAAATCTTAAACACTCAAAGAAAAAAACTATGATCACTTTGTCTCTAAGAAGTGTTCAGGTTTCATTTACAAAGTACACCAATGTTTAAACACTCCTATGAATTTTTAATTCCAGAAAACCTATATCGCATTGAGAAAACCATAACAGCTTTAAGATGTGTTTAAATCATAAACAGGGGCACAGGCAGGTTCTAACAGCGCTCTACACTAGGGTTTTGGCATTTGTGTATATGCCTTATTGAATTATTACTAAAAATGTACGTATAATTTATCACTTTTCTGTTAACAAAGAGGAATTTAGAAGCCTCTTGGGACCCAATGCAAAGTGCTCAGTAGCTACTCTCTTCTAAAAAAAGGCTAGGATTTTATCGATTTCCCAATCTCCGAGAAACACTTGGCAGCGGATTCTCAATCTCCACATCTTTCAAGTAAGTCCATTGTCGATCACATCGACATTCTACACCACACTTTTCTGATCCACAAGAAGGACATGGAAAATGGCAACCGGGACAATCAGTGTCTTGACAATCACAAACATCTCTTCCATCAGACATTCGAACACCTGATCGGTCGTGAAAAGTCTGCTTCTGAGGCCGTCTTCGTTGCCTTTGTCTCCTTTTCGATCGGTTAGCAGGGTCCTTTTTGATCAGGCTATTTAATTTTCGCATTTCGCGTCGACTTGTATCCGGGTTAAACTCTTCAAGCAATCTTCCGGGGTTCTTAAACTTCAGAGAATTCCGTAATTTCTCTGTTTTGGAGCTTTCTGAACCAGTAGATTCTGTCCGAGTGATTTTCGCCGGGTCATTCAGAGAAAACCCAGTGAGGATTGGTGTATCGTCTGATGTTGCAAAGCTCGCATCCCCGACAGCTAGCAACTTGATAATATTTTCATCACTCTCTCGTTGTGCTTCTGAGGACATTTTACAAGTACCTCAGTTTTTACAAGGATAGAAAAATTATGTTCAAAAAAGGTGTAAAAATACAACTTGGCCAATAGACAATCATTTCGCCATCTTGAACAGACAACTCCAGCCCAGTCCAACTACGCTAATGTACAAATACTCACTTCCGGCGAGAAATACAACTTCCGGTAAACGCTTACCCACAACGAAATACGACAAAATTTGTACAAGAAAACAGAAGAGTAAGAATTCAGAAGTAAGACACAGACTGAGAAAAAGTATCCATGCGAATAGAATGATCCTTCTCGATTCAAGAATCCACTGTTTAAAGAAATATCGTCTTTCGGCTTTGTGGGTCCAAGCGAAATTTTCTTTGCGGTGTATTGTTGCAAATTCCATGTTAAAATTCTTTATGCTTTTAAATTCCTCAGGTATAACAAAGAAAGTGAAAATTGCGTTGACGAAACTTTATGAAAAACCGGGATAGCTTGTTTAAAGTTCAGTACTCATGATTGGCTAGTAAACAATGAGCACTTGTTAAATTTTTTTTTTCCGGAAATCGTTGCCTGGATCTGTGGAAGCTAATTTGTTAAAAATTTATTTCCAATGGTGTCTGACGATAGCGCCAAGCAGCAAATCGTTGTACGAGGAACTCTTTTGTATTTACTTTGAATTACATTAACGTCACGTCAAAGTATATAATTTTACGATTTGTTTTTTCCACGTTTCATGTCTTGCAGGCGAGGAGGACAAACTCCTCAAGATCAGACACTGGCGAGAAGAATTTCGCCATGAAAGAGGTTCGTTGTTTAATTAAGAACCGTCTTGGGTCTAAATATTTTCATAAAATCTTTACAGCTCTTAATTTCGATGATAGCGACGCTTTTAATTACTATTACTGAGGTCTAATCGCTCTTTTAAAGCCTGTTGTCGTACGCTGTTTTAGAAAGAGGAAAATTTAAAAGACATGGATGGGGAAGCTCCTTCAAGGCAATCGACGAAGGACGAGGCGACATCACCTGAACAACAGCCGGGCTTTTTGTGGAAAGTATCTGGTGGCGTTTATAACAAGGCAGCCACAGTAGTCGGAGGTGTTGGTTGGGTTGCAGGGACGGCATTATCCACGACGTATAGCGCTGTATCAGCCGTTGGGGGAGTTGCACTGACACCATTCAAGAAATCACCGAAGGACAAGTCTGATTGATACTGTGTATCGGAACAAGGGGCTTCCTGAGGAAAATTTCACATGGCATAGTGCCAAGAGTTCTATTTAGATATTGTTATTGACGAAGATCTTTACATTCACGGACACTTACAGAAAATAAGGTAACCTTTTGTCGAGTGAAACGAAAAATACATTAATTTCGAAACTGAGGGACTGAATTTTCGTGGTATCTCAGTCCGCACAAAATTGATGCTTGCACGCAAAAACTGAATTACTACTTGTTCGTGTGATTTTGTAGAAATAGTGGGTAATTCCGTATACTTGAAATAGTAGAGAAGTGATGAAACACCATTATCTTCAATTCGAAATTTGCTTGCTCAGCTGAGTGCCCCGAATTGGTAATTGACGCAGTTTTATAAGTTCGCTTTTTCCTTTCAAATTTCCAAGTTAGACTTGTTTACACAATGGTTTCGAACTACTCTCTTTCAGATAGCTCTATGTTGTAGCTGATCAGCGATAGATGAAAATTGTAAATACAATACTGTTCCTATTTCAATTCCTTTATTGAGAAAAGAAAACCGAAGATATAAACTTAATATATTCTTTATCCAATGTGAAGGTTTGAAATGAATCTCGCAATTTCGATGAAAATTAAAATTGTTGTTTAAAAAAGTAAAGATGCCTCTGAAGTTTACTGTTTAGCTCAAAATACCAAGTTGCATTTCAACGTTTGTATGTCCAGCTCTGAAAATTTGAGACCATATCTAAAGCTAGAACAATTTTATTTCTGCAGCCAAGAAGTGTCCACTTGAGTTACAGCTGCTCTGGTTGTAGGATGGTCTGTTAATCAGAGTTGGCTTAAAAAATGTTAGCTTCTAATAACAACGCTTATAAAATGTAAAATTCAGCTGTCTGTGTGGGATTTGATTGAAATTATGGCTTGTGTGTTGTTTTACTTGGTGGGAAAAAGAACAAGAAAGTTGTTTTTCTGGCACTACTTATTCTAGCTATCAAATTTTTTTTAGCCTTGCCCAACTCCCTATGTTGAAAGAAGAGGCTGCAGTGGCCTTCACTTGGGTTCCAAAACAGAAACAGAGTGATACTGTTTTGGTGAACTTTTATATGTGATTCAGCTGTACTGGCTACAACACTGTTTACCATAGGTGTAGCCAAGTTGGCCTTCTCTGCAAAGTCTTTCAGATAGCCTTTCAACCATTAAGAATATAAGATTGTTTTGTTTGCTTCAGAGGGCCATAAATGGCTTACTCTCCCCCAGAATGTCCCAGCCTGATAATCAACACCTGTGCAGAAATGCTGCAAGTGTCTTTTTGGAAGATCTCCTACTACTGCAAGGTACTTTTAGACTTGGGCTTTCTTACAGGAAGCTCAAGTAAATATTACTTTTGTCTTAGAAATTGCGCATGAGCTGGAAAACATCTGCTGTCATTTACCTTGATATTTTGCCATGTCTTGATTATAGGCCATGTAGAATCAGTAAATTAAACTCATCTCTTAAGTTAATTAGGTGGAGCTTTTAACTTTTAACCAAATTTACCTCAGCAGTAGGCAAGATGGGTATCAGAAATTACCTTTGTATAACAATCCACAGGTTTTTAACTTATCTCAATTACCTTTTATATAACATTTGATGTTCACCCTTTGACTCCTTATGGAGTGACGAGCATCTAATTTCTCCATACAGTATCACCCCAGAACCAAATTAAGGTCCCGTGAATAAAGGAAATGATCACCAACTAAGGAAGCTCTTGATTGTTAGACAAAATCTCCTTGTCAGCTCTTTAGGAAATGTATAGAGAACAGTGTCTCTATCTTTATATCTCTTTGTGCCATAAGGCTTTGACCTTCTCTTTCCTTCCTCTTCCGTTTGTTGCTAAAGTTCTAATAGTCGTCCATGATTACGAACTTGGGAGCTCCGCTTTTAGGCTTGGCTAAATCTATATATTATGAAAAAGCAGTATAACTGCCAACAAGACTGGTTTCAATGAGCACTTTAACTTTACTACATTATGGTCCATTGCGCTTGCTAGAGGAACAAGTAGAAGGAATAGAAATGTTAACAACAGAGGAAAAGCAACCAGACAAGGAAAAACACTTACAAACGTTGTAAGAGCTTGTCAAAGTGAAGGATGGAAAACTAGGAGTTGATTGTAGTAAAATAATTGACAATGATCTAAAGGAGTCTGGTACTCTAATGCTGAATTTAACTGGGAAGCTTATACAAAATTAAATTAAACAGAGCAAAATTATACAAAAAAAAATCCCGCAGAATATAAATCAATGTGAGTGGAAGAATGCGAAAAACAATAAGAAAAATGTGAGTGCAAAATGTAATGAGGAATGTAAATGGGAACCACTAAAATGGGAATGCTGCACTAACAAGTAGATGGACTTGAGGAGACATAAGAAGCAATTCCAGTGGTATAAACAGTAAGTTTATTCATTCTTTCGTTGGGATGGTATGAGTGTGGGCTAGATGATACAACTTTTTGCTGTTGTGGACCCTACTCATCAAATTTTGAGACAATGTACACATATACACAATATGAATTATGAAAGGATTACTGACAGGTTTAACTCTCCTCTCAAAATCAACCAACCACAAGCAGTCCCTCCTTTTCAGCAAAGACCCTTGATTGATTGATGTTAGCAAGATGCATGGAACTCTGGGATTGAGATGCACAACAAAAAGTAGGGACTACAGACTAGACCAGAGAGTTCGACATCTGTGTTGCTCCAACAAAGGTAGAAAATGATTGGTGTACTTTTTGTGTGCCTTGCTCCTAAAGTTCTGCACAGGGTGCCTGCATCAATTTTTCCACCATTTTTTTTTTTAACTTGGAGGACTAACTTTGCCAAGAAAGAGGGACAGCTCATAGTCTGACAAACACAAAGACAAAGCCTTCTGATGTAAGTTAAGTCCTATAACCCACCATTCTCTTTGTTCATAAGTTATTATAATTATGCATACTTAGAAGGTGAGGGGATCTTACTATTTTCACATAACATTAAAAGCTTCTAAAACAAATTAAAACTAATGAGCAAAGCAACAGTTTTTAAAAACAACACTTATGTATGAATTTCTAATTTACTAGTTTCAAACATGTTTAAAAGTATAAATTCCAAATAAAGACAGATCTACAACACAAGTTCTATGTTCATTAGTGAAAACAGCATTTCAAAGCCATGCTGGTTTTCCATAATCACCTCTAAACTTCAACTAGAGCTACAAAATAAGAATTAATTTAAAACTATAATTATGTATCACGTAGATGCTCGTCCCCCAAAAGTAGCTATGGCCACATTTCCAGGTGTTCTTTTTAGAAGTGTAAGTCTCATGGTGTCAACTGCTCTTTCTCCAACTCCGTCAGCTGTGATCTCTACATTATAGTTGTTTGCCTGTAAAGAAACAAGAATACTTATATGAACTTCTGCCCTATGGAATAAATCTTGAAAGATTTATTGCTTCTTTTTCTTGATCCTGTGTATTTGCTATATTTAGACAGGCTGGTCCAATTCAGCTCAAAGCTGGTCTAAATGGGGGCCTGTATAAACAGTGACAAGGCAAGACCACAACACTGGCTGCCTCCTGGTTAGCTCAATTGGTTAGAGTGCTGGACTGTTGTATGGGAGGTCGAGGGTTCAAGCTCTGGCCAGACCAACACTCAAGGTCTTAAAATAACTGAGGAGAATCTGCTACCTTTCTATAATATCAAGAAATGAATAGATATTCTAGTCTTCTCGGATAAGAATGAATAAACTGTTGGTCCCATCTCCTGCATCTATTAATTAGTTAACTTGGTTAGGCAGGGGACGTTAAAGAACCCACTCACAAGATTACTGTTATGTGGTCTGGCTTGTTTACTTTGAATTGGGGGGGGGAGGGGGAATCTTCAAAAACCGGTAAGTTTCCTTTGATTGATTGTAAACTGCTGATGCAGTCCGGCCAAAGTCCCCCAGAAAGTATTGTGATGCGCATTTGATCTCATCCAAATGTTAATTTGCACAATATAAATATTAAATTATTATTTAAATTATTATACATTCCCTACTTTTTGCAAGAAAGTGTATGGGTTCTTAAATATCCCCTGCTAACCAGTAAATAGAAGATGCAGGAGACAGGGTGGCCCTGCCTATGGTTTATCATCCTTATCCAAGAAGACTTTTTAAAGAATGTCTAACTGTCTAAGAATTCCTCCTCTATACCTTTTTGTGATCTTTGGAATACAAGTGAAGAAACATTCAGAACAAGGAATTTAACAACTCTCAGACTTAGGACTTTTGAAAATGAAGAGGATATGAGAACTTACCAGCTGCAATGTTGCTAGAAAAAATCTACATATTTCAAATGGTTCCTGTGCAAATAATAACATAACAAGTGTCATTAACACCATTATCATATAAGGGGCAAAATTACTGAATTGTGATTGGTCAAGACAGAGGGCATTTTTTCTTAATTTTTGTAATTGCCCCGGGCAAAATTACTTGAAAATGATTGGCTGAAAATCGCTCAGCAATGGCTGCCAAGGTAAAGAAATTTCTGTTTGTTTTGTAACAATGCCGTTCTGTTTTGCGCGAGATCAGTAAGAAAACATTTTGCCCCTTATATTATGAAAAAGTAATCACATGGTTCCTCGTAAAATTAAGGATTAATATCACGTGTGTTTTTGGAAGTTGCTGAAATTGCCCGAGTCTGCGTGACGGGCAATTTCAGCAACTTCCAAAAACACGCGTGATATTAATCCTTAATTTTACTCGGCCCCATGCGATTACCTATACGAATACTAAACCCTGTTTATGCAACTCTGGTGTGATTTCTTACCAGAGAATACAATAATAGGCTCAACTCCATTCATAAATTTGTTTAAAAACAAAACTCCTTGTTGTTTTCTGAGTAAACCATTTAACATAAATCTCCTGTAAGAGCTAGCTTGGTTACTCATTAAAATCAAAGTCATGAATTCTTGTGACAGATTGTAAATTGGATGCAGTTGGTATATTTGTTACCTTTTCATGGGCTAGCTCTCTAAAATCTTGAATAGTATTGCCTGTGAAAAAATGATTGTAATACGAAGTAAATTTACCATGGATTGCGTCCTTTAGTGTCAGGTCCAGAGAGGGGTGCAAGGGTTCTGGACCCCCCCTAGTCTGACTTGTGGGTGTGTTTTAACTACTTGACACCCAAATTCTTGAAAAACAAGATGCTGACTGGTTTATTTTTTTCCATGCAAAAGGAGCATGAGTTGATTGAAAAGTAATTTTAGACCCCCTATCAAAAATTCCTCAATCCATCCCTTTCAATGAAAAGGGAAAGGGGGGGGGGGGGAAGGTTGGAGAACTAAGATCTAGACAGTTCGAGAAAGAGAGAGTTGCACATAATTGGCAGCATCAAATTTTAAATCTGGATAATGATTCTGTCTTGAGATTCAACTTTTAAGGCACTATGGCCTAAAATACTTTCATTTGCTGCTATCCTTTAAATTCTCTGATGCCATTTTCACTATTTGGTTCTAAGATAAATGATTGCATCGACCCTCTACCTCCCAAGATCACATTTAGTAATTCTCCTTACTCTCTAACATACAATTCTTATGCTGTTAGTTCTGAGAATTTGGTTTTAGATCAATTCCTAATCCCCTAATTGATAATTTTCTTTATTCTCATCATATTTCTGCTTGATACTGTATTGTATTTCAAGGAGAAATCCTGTCTTGGTCACTCACGGAAGTTAAAGCAAACTTAAAGATAAAAGAACTTTCAGAAGGATTGATGAGATGGACTCATAACAACAGCAAGATATCTTCTGGTGGACAACATGATAACGATTTTCGAGAGAGAGAGAGAGAGAGAGAGAGAGAGAGAGAGAGAGAGAGAGAGAGAGAGAGAGAGAGAGAGTATATATGCAATTTTCTTTAAGCAGTCCTCTATCCTCATTACCTTTAAATGAGTCAAGAATTTCTTTTCCATACTTGTGAATATCGAATGGCCTATGTGTCTCCTGCAAATGGAGTAAGATTAGTAAATTAACTCTTAAACTCCCAAGAACTGATTGTGAATTCTCCCCTTCTAGCTGTTACACATTTCTTGTTAATTAGTTACCAGAACTTGGTGTTTGATTAAGGAAACAATGTCTACCTGATAAATTTGAGTATTCTCAGTACTTGTTTGTAGGAAAATATATGGATATTAAAGGGAGAAGTTACATCTTAATCACTCAAATAATGGGAGATTTTGATATCAATGCGGGTTGGAGGTTTAAAAATTAATGCATTTTTGGTGCCTTTACTTTATGAGGCTGTCAAGTTGTGCATCAAATGTAAAAAATCAAGTTGTGTTAATAATGCTAATTGAACTGAGTGGAGTACAATTTGGGCTGAAATCATACATGTGATTTCAAAATCACACGAGCACGCAGCATGAGTTTGATTTGAAATCACAAGTATGATTTCAGACCAAAATTGCACGACATAAGGTTCAATTACCACTTTATTACATCCATTTTGAAATTGCCCAAATACAGGACTTGGTCAATTCAAATATTTTATTTATGCAGTACTGAGCCGGTTTTTAGATAAAAAAGAAGAACCAGAAATGCTTTTACATCTTATTTTGTTTGCAAAACAAAAAGACTTTGACGTCATGTGTCAAAAACTCAGTCAAGCATAAAATGATGCAATTTAGAGCAAAAAATGGTGCAATTCATGAATAAATCACACCAATTAGAGCCAATCAGATTATAGGGACCACCAGTGATTTCAAAATGGATGTAATAAAGACAATAAGTCACACATCTCTTTATCAGTTTCGTAATTCACCTCTTCTGATAATACTGGCATAATTCTCTCTTCCCATTCTCTGACTCTTCTACTCAACTCTGTTTCCTGGGCATACTGTTGACGTGCCTCCAAAAGGTAACTGTCCTGTGCAACAGAGTCAATGACATGGTTAGCAAACATGCACCTCAGTGCTCCACCTGCAACTGTCTTTTTTCCACCATTATTATTTTGAAGAAAAGATGATTGCAAGTAAATTATTTACCACAGTCCTCACTTTGATGACAGGAATTACCCAATGATTATGGTCTAAAGTTAGAGTGAGATCAACATAAATTATTTTGTTTAAAATACAATTACCACTCCATCACTTTCCTTTTTTTTTTCCTTACAAAAAAAAGTTGCCTCTTTCTCCTTGATTGTACAAGATGTGGCATAAATTCCCTTAAACAAATTACAGCCAAGTTTCTTTTTTCAAGACAAGTAGTGTGGTTAACTTCAGAAAACAAGTAATATTGCATTCTTCTTCTCTGGCAGCTCAACCTTTTTTCTGGCAACAATTCTATGACTTTAGATTGCCAAATGAGGATTTCTACAGGTACTGACCTTGAAGGCCTGCATATAGGTTTAGAAAAGCACAGTAGAGCTCAGTGACAATAAATGTGTGAAAATTAACTCAGTTATTTGATAGCTGTAAGTAATGGAAAAAGAGTAACACTTACCACATATTTCCTAACCATTTCTTCATAGCTTGAAATAACTACACCATCTGCAGGTTCCTCCAATGCTGTGAAATTAACAGAACAGCATTTGAATTCAACATATGGGTTTTTTAAAATCACTCCTTTATTCCATCTTATATCAACTTGAGAACCCAAGGTTGGCCAGTCAATGGACAAGGTGCCATCAAATCTAGGTTTGTTAAGTCAACTCCATATTAAATAACTGCACATTTTGTCTGATTGTTTTACCATGAAAAGAAGATTTTAGTTGAGAGCTTAGTTCAGGTTTTAAATACTGTAAGTTGTATGTACGATAAAAGCATGGTAAATAATTTACACTTGTTTCATATGGAGGAGGGGGGAGGAGGAAGGAAATTTATTGAGATGTTTGGATTTTGAAGAGTCTGTTGTTCTGTTCAATTTCTTTTACAGTAAAATACTGTCAAAAATAACACATTTCAGCTCAGTTTATACCAATCGGCTCCAGAACTTCAGCACTGCCAAAGTCCAACCCTTCATCTACTCCTCCTCCAAAATCATCATCATCATCATCATCATCATATTCAGCTGGTGCATCACATCCAGCTTCATTACCATCATCACCTGAGAGGAATAAAACAATCACAATAATTTAATGGGAGGATAGAGGCTCAGCAGGAAGGCTTAGCCCTTATTATTTGTGCTGTAAGACATGTGTTCCTCTGCTGTCAGAAGTTTTGAGATGAGGCAGGGAGGGATTGCTGGAGGGTGTGGCACCATTAAACCTTTAGCCTCTAAGAATGACTAGCATCTAATTTATCCCTACAGTATCCCCCTGTATCCAAGGCTGTGCTCTGAGGAAAATTGAATGGAGCCCAGTGCTTTGAAACTGTGAAATATAGGGTGCCTGGCATATGCTTTGTATGAAAAAACTAAAATTCCTGAGTCTCCCAAGAGCAAAAATAAGGCACCAGGGGCCACAGGGTGCTGCTAGAGCCCAGCATTGGTATCAAACATTAAGGTACCAAGAATAAAGGAAATGATCAGCAACTAAAGAAGCTCCTGATTATTACACAAATTCTCCTTGTCAGCATCTTAGGGAACATATAGAGAACAGTAGAGAGAATATGCATTCTCACGTAAGGCTGTAAAGAGGTAATGAGTGCTAGACCCCCTTGCAAACCTCTCACTGGCTTGCTTTGCTCAAGGCTCTGTTCTTTCTAGTGGGTTAAAAAACACTTATGTTGAAGTACTCATAATGAGGGCCTCCTCGCAAGCTACGTGAAGGTTAGGATGATGTTAACATTGACTCTTACCATATATTTGCCCATCTTCATTCTCTTCTGCATTTTCTACTATTGAGTTTAATTCCTCAATTTCCTCCTTTGTTGCAACCTGATACTGAATCAAAAAGTGGTTTTATCTGAGATATGTTACACATCATGACAAATAATTTTTGAGGGATTTTCTCTTGCTATAAAACACAAAGCTTAAACTTCTTACCAAAACCTTCTTCAGCTTGGCCTGAAGTTTTTGTTTTTCTCTGTATTCAACCCAATACAAGTATTCAAACTCTGTAAAAATTAAGTTTGGAACAAAATAAATACAGTAGTGAAGGTTCACCCCATTAATAGCTGAGGAAACAAACAAGCAATTCTACACACCTGGAAATGATGGAATTTTGAGACTATTTTTGGACATCTTTGATGCATGTGAATAAACTGCAAAAAGAAGAGTAAGCACACAAAATTGTGATAATTTTTTGAGTTGAAGTGCTGTAATATGAAAGAATAGTTTTTCTCACAATATGGCCACTTTCCCTATACATTAGTAGGTTGTATAAGTAGCAATATTTTGATTTCATACTTTTAATAAACCTTTAACCACTATAATTATAACATGACCAAAGTAAAGTGTGCACTCTGATTGGTCAATTCAGTGTCCACTATTTGCCAATGGGTGTAGGCTGCTGACATGAGCAAATGCATAGATTAGTTTTCTGCATGTGCTTGTTTTTTTTCTGGTCATGTAAGATTATTTTGTCAAATAAAAGAAGACTCTTTTGCTCATATGTATCAATGTTATGTTATAAAACAAATGGTAAACGCTTCAGTGTATACTATTGAGTTATGGATACACTTGGGAAGTTTGCTAAGCGCTCAAGAAACTAGAGTTGCTCTCGGCTATTGCCTCATGCGACTCTCATGCTTCTTTCAGGCTTAGTAGCCTCCCATGTACATACATAACTCAATAGTGTATGCTGTGGAGTTAACCATTTGTTAAGTAGTTTAGCTTGGTCTGTACTTTTATTGACAATGGTATTCATCATCATTGTGGTCAAAATATCATGGACTCAGCAGGTGCAGCCAAGTGAATCTACAACAAATTTCAACCCCTATGATGACGAATATCTTTGTCAATAAGAGTAAAGACCATGCTAAACCACTGTTGATTTGTTTTTCACAACAATATTGACATAAAAAAAAACAATTCTTTTAGTGTGTCACATGATGTACCCTTATTGACAATGGCAGATTACCATCTTACTGCCAACTGTGGTAAAACAGAGATTGATATGAGGGTGTAAAAGGGGTTAATCATCAAGCAAGAAGGTTGAACAGTTGTGCATTGCATCACAGAGTATGAAGCTTGATGCTTCACAGAGATTGTTCATTCTCAACACCAGTGGATTGGTGTTTTAAAAATCAACAGCTGGGATAATGAAGACTATAAGCTGTATGTTGAAAATCTGTGCAATATATAAAGGAAAACTGTATCATTAAAGGTTGAGGAGAGTATGCTCTCCACAGTGTACACTGCAATATTCATGTCTCACCTTCAGTTGGATATATCAACAAAGTTGAAATGGTAAATTGGCCACCGTAACAATTACAAAAGCTGACGTTTCGAGCATTAGCCCTTTGTCGGAGCGAATAGAGGAATTGTGGGTTGTGTGCTTTTAATTAAAGGAAGAAAATGGAGCTACATTATTGGTGGGAACATGGCAATGAGAATAACACAAATAAATTAGTGGAATGAAAAGCGTTCGTTGATCCCTGTGGGATTTAAAGTGCCGGTTTGAAAGATGAGCTTTTGTTCAGTTTGTTTTACTTACAAGCTTGGGATATAAACTGATTGATGGGAACAAGGGTTGGTTGTTTTTTATCTTCTTTATGTTTTCTTTTCTTCTTCTGCTGGTGTGATACCAAAGAGGAGGGCTTCTTGAAGGGTTTACCTGCAAAACAGATGTTATTACCTTTTTACCCTTATAAGAATGGAATAGAGAAATTTCAAAGAGTGTTGCTTTAGAGAAAATAATCACTAAATCACATTGTCAATGTTGGTTTCTACACTCCCTCCTTCACTGCTCCATTTGGAACAACTTAGCAGTTTTCCCTCTCGACTTAGCAGTTCTCAACTTAGCAGTTCTCCCTCTCCACCCACAGTCCAGCGCACTAAACATTTCTGATTTAAGGTCACTGCCTCTCCCACTAGCAAGAAGAAAGACTTTGCCCCTCATTGTGACAGAATAATAGCTGACCTTTCTTAAATGGTTTATCTTGTGAAGTGCCTGGGTCGTGAGGATCCAACATTTTCCAGGGATCTTTGAACTGTGAATACAACATTATTATTAACAACAGTAAAAATAAACCAATCACTAACAAACTTGTTCCGACATACATAGGTCAGAACTGGACTGATTGGTTCAGGTTTCAAACAATAGCAATGTTAGCAACAAATAACTTTCCTCAAACCCATTCCAAGTAGAAATCAATAACCAACAATTCAATTTAAGTTATCAACCCTTAAAGTTCCAAGAGTAATCAGCGAGTAATTTCTTACAAAATCAATACATTGTACAAAAGACAACAGGTGATGAGAATGAAGAAAAACATCAACTAGAAGATAAGTATAAATGAGTTTGATTTATTGCCAAATTTCTAGACATTATCTTATCAAAAATACATAACAGATAGCTGGGAGGATTAAAAAAATATAATTGAATTCTGAGAGTTTAAATTCTGTAAAGAAACTGTTCAACTGTGTTGTTGGACAATTGAAACACCAAGCCCATTAGAATTTCAAACTTAATGCTTTCACACCCAAGATCTCATTTCTCCTTACTGTTTGCCATACTATTCTTGTGATGTTAGTTCAGAGAATTTGGTAGTTGATCAACTACTGATTCTAATTCATATTTTTCTTTATTCTCATCACTTGTCTGCTTGATATTGTATTGATACTTTAAGGAGAATTTCTTTCTTGGTCACTCATGGGTGTAAAAGAGTTAACAATCTTGGAAGAAACTTAACTCACAGGCAGTTGCTGTGCTTGTTTGACTTGCTGTGTTTCAGGTCTTGCTCTTAATTCTCTTCTTTCTTCCTGATCATTCTATGATTTGTGCAAAAACATTTGTAACCAAAACTATCCCATAACAAGATTTCTTAAAAACATAAATGGAAAATCCACAGTCTTGACACAATATGTATACAAATGCTTTAAAAACACCTTACTGTACTGGTACAGTATTTACAAACAGATATAATCAAAAGGTATTTAAAGGAGTGGAGCAACAGGTTCTCAAGAGTATTGTGAACCACTTTTTTTCTAAAGCATCTCAGCAGGCCAGAATCTTAAATCAATGAGTCTGATTGGCTAATGCAGCACTCATAACTGGTCCAGCTTTTTATGGTACAGCCCACAGCACAGATTTTTTCCAAGCCATTCACAGCAAAGCAGTGGAAGCAAACCAGCAGGAAAAAAAGTCATTCACCAGTCTAAGTCTGTCTGTATGAGAAATAACACTGTGGTCTTGAGTAAAACCCTTGCCTTTGGGCTTAAGTCAAGACCTCAGGCACAGTTTTTTTTCCTATATGGACCTCCCACCTGGTAAATGACTTGTTGAATAATTCACTGGTTCTTGTCAAAGAAAGAAATTTGGTGAGTTAGTGGTTATTTTTCTGGACTCTGGATTCAGAAGTTCACATTTGGGCTCCCCTAAGATTACTGTGTGGTGTTTTTGGGCAATACAGGGCATTTCTCCACCTGGGGGTATTACACGAGTTTACATAACTATTTCTATATTAGGCAACTGCTGATGAAACCCAGACACAAAGACCTGCTTTAAAGGGTTATTTTATCCTGAAGAGATAACTTCTCCATTATTTCACCTGGGTCTCCTCAGTAACAAATTCATTGCAATTATTTGGAGCATTGTTACAGCTATCAAGTGCATCATCATCCATCAGTTCAGGTGGATCAAAATTATCATCAGCATCTAGAAGAGAGGAATTAGCTAGTTCATAAAACCTCAAATTAAAGTAAATTAATGTTAAGACACTGAATCACGTAACAGGATTTATGATTTGTGATAGTGGATGGTCCTTATTCATTCTTAAACAACAAACATATGAAATACATATATATGAACTGTGGTTATGAAGCGTATATGTGCACGATCCTTCGCAGTAAAGCACTATTTAAGCAATAGTGAAAATCAGACCTGAAAAAAATTCAGGCCTGTACAGGATTCGAACCACTGACCTCTGCGATGCTAGTGCAGCGCTCTACCAATTGAGCTAACAAGCCAACTGGGAGCAGGCCATCAAATTAATTCGACATAAACCCGTAGATGATAAATCAAACAACAAACATATGAAATACATATATATGAACTGCGGTTATGAAACGTATATGTGCACGATCCTTCGCAGTAAAGCACTATTTAAGCAATAGTGAAAATCAGACCTGAAAAAAATTCAGGCCTGTACGGGATTCGAACCACTGACCTCTGCGATACTAGTGCAGCGCTCGATGGCCTGCTCCCAGTTGGCTTGTTAGCTCAATTGGTAGAGCGCTGCACTAGTATCGCAGAGGTCAGTGGTTCGAATCCCGTACAGGCCTGAATTTTTTTCAGGTCTGATTTTCACTATTGCTTAAATAGTGCTTTACTGCGAAGGATCGTGCACATATATGCTTCATAACCGCAGTTCATGTATATGTATTTCATATGTTTGTTGTTTGATTTATCATCTACGCGTTTATGTCGAATTAATTTGATGGCCTGCTCCCAGTTGGCTTGTTAGCTCAATTGGTAGAGCGCTGCACTAGTATCGCAGAGGTCAGTGGTTCGAATCCCGTACAGTGGTCAGTGGTTCGAATCCCGCCTGAATTTTTTTCAGGTCTGATTTTCACTATTGCTTAAATAGTGCTTTACTGCGAAGGATCGTGCACATATACTTATTCATTCTTGTTATAATGGCTTGGAAAGGACCACTTAATAAGATGTAGCACTTGATAAACCATAATTTAATGGAAATACAGTCCACAAATGTAATGAATCTACCAATAACAATTATGGAGTTATCATTGAGTAAGCCCTAATTGTTAAAATTTATTAGCTTAGCTTCGCTAGAACTCTGAAAGTTTTTAAATAAGTGAAATTCCTTCTGAAAGAAATGTTAATCAATATTGTCCTCCTTTGCTGAACTACAAATAGTGTGTTCAAACCATTTACAACATAAATTCAGAAATTGCATTTGCTGACTTTTAATTGGCTTAAATTGTAGGAGATGATTAAAAACAAATTTCAGTACTGAATACATGTAGAGAAGACACTTAGCCAGGTTAAAACCTGAAGAAAGAGAACTTAACTAACCAGGAAGTCCTAATTCTTCATAATTTTCAGCTGCATCAATACCATAGTTAGTTGATTGCTCATCAGTTCTAGGTTCCATACCTGCTGAACAGCAAAAAATGACTTTTTTTGATATCATTGCAAATATAACCAAATACATTATTATTTACTTAAGAGTAGTTGGTAAACTTTATTCCTCTCTTACAAACCTGTCATAACTGATGGAGTGGCAGGCTTCAGTCCTTTAAAAGAGTCATCTATCAGTGAAAGATGCGTCCAGTCTAGAAGCAATGTACCAGTTGGACCATGGACAACACATGTGTTCATCTGTCGACAAAATAATTTACAATTCGATGATGACTTCAATAAATGAGGTAATGGCTAATCCTCTAACTCACAAGATCTGATTGTTAATTCTCCCTATCCAGCAGCTACACATCTCCTTGTAAATTAGTTATAGGAATTTGATGTTAGATCAAGATAACAACTCCTACCTGATAATTTTGAGTATTCTCATTACCTGTTTGCTGGCTAATAATTACAGGGAGAAGTTACATGTTGATAACTTCTGGGAGTTGGTGGGTGAAAAAGATATGAAAGGTTGGGGGCTTTAATCACTTATCAAAATAAACTCAGTTGGGGAAAGCATACAGTTTTGATTAAACCGCCTCCCGGTTAGCTCAATTGGTAGAGCGTCAGACTGTTGTGTGGGAGGTCGTGAGTTCAAATCCGGCTGGACCAACACTCAGGGTCTTTAAATAACTGAGAAGAAAGTGATGCCTTTGTAATAATATCTGAAAATGGTTAGACTTTCTAGTCTTCTCGGATAGGGACGATAAATGGAGGTCCCATCTCACAAGCCCTTGTATGTGAGAAAAAAATTTGTGGGACATTAAGGAACCCACACACTGTTCAAAAAGAGTAGGGCATGTAGCGCCGGTGTTATGGTCTATCTTTGTGTAGTGTCTATCAAATTGATGGGGGGCACTGTGCCTTTGAATATTGTATAGAAAGGGCACAATATAAATAAGGAATTCATAAAGTAATTGTTGTCACTGATTTTGTTGATATGACCCTGGATGGTCTACGGTGCATCTAAAGGATTTCCGAGAAATTCTTTTAAAGATAATCATGGTATAAAAATCAAAACTTCTTGGAATAATTTGAAAATTAAATTTCTTTTTACCTTAAAGTCATTCTTTCTTCCAATGGCTTCACCATTGTGACTAAGAAGTAGAAAAGAAAAATTATCAGTCTGTTTAGGTACATCACAGTTCAAAACACACAAACTTTCAAGTTTTCAAATAATGGCACAAGTTTGATAATTTTGAGATCACAAGCATGATTTCACACTAAAATTGCAGGACATGAAATTCAATGACCATGTCATTACATCCATTTTGAAATTGCATTATTTAATTGCTCAAAAACAGGATTTTTTAGTTGGTACAAATATTTCATTGATTCACTACTGGGTTGGTTTGTAAAAAGTTGCAAAAGTTACCTTCATTTTCCTGCAATTTGACGAGTTACTTTAAAATAGCCTTCTTAATAGGATTGGTTGTAGTTGTATTTAGTACAGCTTTCTCGTTGGTGCAATTCATGAAGAAAGTGTACCAGTGAGAGCCAATCAGATTACAAAGACCACCAGCGATTTCAAAATGGATGTAATAAATGATACATAACTATTATGCATGTACCTTAGAAGCACATCTCCCCTTTCTTCCTCTGGGAGAGGTATTAGGGCTAAAGGAATCCTTGGCACAATCAGAGAACTCTAAAAATGACAGAAATTGGTGTTTGATCATAAACAGGTGATCTTTGGATACTGTTCTTCATTAGCAGTTCAGACAGGAACCACAATTAGTTTGCTCTTTTTATCCAAGATAACAAACTCTAATAAAAGACTAATCAATCTGCACAAATATTGCAAAATGTTCATTACTGATCATTTATGAGTCAAAATAAAATTTAATTTGCAAAAACTGTATTTGTGAAAACTGGTTATGTTGCTGCCCTGGGTAAGGCTTGAACACACATTTGTGAGTGGGTACCTTTCTTTCATCACTATCATCATCTTCCTTCAAATCAATATTCTTTGATACTTTTATGTCATCCCAAGAGCGATACTGTAACAAAAAAAAGAATCATGTTTTAGGATTAAATTGAGGGAAAGGAACAAAATTAACCAATGGGCATCATTACACTTGATTATAAGCGTTTAACTCCCAGAAGTATTTACATGTAAGTAAGGCTTAATCCTTCAATTTCCAGAAGTGACTAACATGTAATTTCTCCCTACAATATTAAGGCTGTGGTCTAGCAGTGCCCAGTGGCCCCTGGTGCCTTACTTTTGCTCTTGGGTGACTCAGGAATTTAGTTTTTTTTATACAAAGCATATGCTGGGCACCCTGGATTTCATGGTTTTAAAGCACTGGGCTCCATTCAAGTTTCCTTAGAGCACAGCCTTGAATATCCACATACAATCCATCAAACAGGTAATGAGAACACTCACATGAATTGGGTAGAAGTTGTTATCTTGATCTAAAACCAAATTCTCATAACTTACTTACAAGGAAATCTGTAGCAGCTAGAGAGGAGAATTAACAATCAGATCTTGGGAGTAAAATGTTAAAAACTCACAAATACAGCGTACCTCTTTAGTGTGGCCCTTGGTACCCTTTTTCTCTTGTTCAACTGAATCATCTGTTGATACCTGTTGCAGACGCCTGGGAAAGAAGAGAAGGATGCAGGTATGTCAGATTGGGGAATGTAGCCAATGAGATTCAGTCATTTCTTTAAAAAAAAAGTCAGTTGATACATCACTGACACAAAACAGATATTTAGGACAACAAACTTTTGGAACATTTGCCAAGTTGAACATGTTACCATTAATTGGTTGACATACTACCAGTGAATCATTCCACATATAACTGAAAATGTTTGCTAACACAAACACAAAGTGAGACTGTTAGCAATTTTACAAGTGACCAGTACTTATCATACAAAAATATCAAAAATGTTTATAAAAATATGTCAAGTCAGTCTATCCTTGTTATGCTCTTGAGTATTAATGGCCACGACCACTGCTGCCTGTCCTTCATCTCCTTTCCCACCTCTCCCCGACAGACTCCACCCTCCCCTCTCTCTTTTTGTAATCGTCCATTGCCAGCCAAGAGTGACTAACGTCTAATTTCTCCCAACAATATCACCCTTGATTCACACATTACAGTCAAAAGAAAAAGGAAATGATAACCAACTATAGAGACTCTTGATTGTTAAACAAATTCTCCTTATCAACACCTTAGGAAATTTATAGAGAACAGTATGGAGAATATTCATATTGATGTTAGGGTGTAAAGGGTAAGGAGCTTTATTATCCAACTACGCCTAGACGAGTACAAATAACGCCATAGACAAGTACAAATATCACGCGGTATTTGTACTCGTCTATTGTAGTACTGGTTAAACAGGTTTTCTTGCATTGCACAAGCGAAGAATTGGATTGTAGTTAAGAAATTCGCCCGCACTGAAATAACAGTTTGGCGTGTTGGATAATAAATAACTTATTAGACATTTTCTTGTGTAGTATCACTGAGTATTTTTACTCGTTATTTGTATTTTGACTCACCCAACAGGCTCGTCAAAATACGGCACATCTCATGAAAATACTCAGCGATACTACACAACAAAACGTCTAATAAGATATATATTATTCACAGTGTCTTTATCTTTGCATATTTGGTAACTACAGATGTAGAAAGTAAATATCCTATTGACAGCTATGTTATCCTTGTAAGGAAATACGTACACTCTTATGCTTATCATTAGCTCCCACGAAGGGCTCACGCTCGAAACGTAAGCTTTTGTAATCATTACGGTGGCCAATTTACCATTTCAACTTTGTTGATATATCCAAATTATTTCGTTACTCCCACCGACGCAGCCCCAAACAGTTTCTTTCGAAACTATTAGCCTTCATACACTCTTATGACTCACTTTTTACTTGCTATTAGATCCAAAGTTTGATAGACCAGTGTGTACAAATATTCCACCTACAACAGAGATATTAGGATAATAGGCTTAAAAAAGAAAGTTTTACATTACCAGTCATGTTACATGAATAATCAGTATAGAGCCACTGATTAGATCAGAGGTTTTAGAGTCAGAGTGATTTGGTTTTGATACACAGTCAACCCTTAACCCCTGAGAGAGACTAGCCTCTAATTTTTCCTTACAATATCCCCCCTGAATCACACATTAAGGTCATGAGAATAAAGGAAATGATCACCAACTAAACGAGCTCTTGATTGTTAAACAAATTCTCCTTGTCAACACCTTAGAAAATGTATAGAGAGCAGTATGGAGAATATGCACATTAATGTTTGGGTGTACGTAAGGGGTTAAGTTACGGTACATACCTTCCTGCTGTAGATGCAAGCTGATCCTTGGATAAGAAGCGCTGCTTCAGCAAAATTCATGGTGGTCTTCCCTCCATCAAAAGATATTTTGATCTTTTCGATCTGAATCAAAAGTCATTTTTAATAGAATAAATACGCTTGTAATTGATTGGGGGCTAGATTGTAGCGCTTGAAAATAAACAACGTGGCTTGTAATTATCGTGCAACTTAAGTGATCAAGAGGAGCAATCGCAACCTTTTGCACCACACTTTGAATAAAATTGCACAAAAAGATTCAAGGATTAAATTTGAGTTTAGTTGACTTCTGAGCATAAACTTAACCGTTAATTTCAGAACGTTAAATGAGTTCACCTCAGCCAAGTATTCCTCTAGTTGAGCGGCAACATCTATGTCCCAGTTCTTTGTCAGATCACGGATCGGCTGCAGTAAATGAATGTACCGGCTAGCTACATCGCTTAAATCACCACTGGCTTCTGGAGATGGCATGATCACCGCGAAAATATTCAGCCAAAACTCAACCAAAACATTACTTCCAGAGCGGACACGAACAAAAAGAAATTTCCCGCCATTTTGCTGAACTCTGAGGATGCGTTTAATGCGAAACCGCTGATACGTTCTAAAGTATGCAGACTCACGTCTACAGCTTCGCACAACTCAGACTTGTCGGATAGGGGAGCGAGTTCTCCCAGGGAGGGTAGGAAACCACCAACATGTTTACAGATCCCAATGTCGTTCTGACTTTAAACACGAAATTGAAATTTTTTTGTCTACGTTGTAGGTCCAAACTCTTAGGTAGGCTTTCACCACTGTGCATAAGTTAACACGCACGGGTTATCTGGCCTGTAAGAACTCATGGCGCCGCTTGTTTAGATCTTAGACTTTAGGCAGGCTTTTGTGTTTGAGTTTCCCCTCACGGTCCCTTTTCCACGCACGGCCGCCTATTACACCATCAGTAGCCGCTTATGACAAAAGTTATGGAAACCCTTGCTGTGGCGGTATGGCCAATTTAAAACACGCCTCAAATTAATGGGAATTTCAGAATCATTGTTAGAAAGCGTGGATGGGGAAGAAGAAACTCATAATGGAGAGAAAACTTCAGGCAACAAGGAAAAAACTGTTGATAATTAGTTTGAATCATTTACAGTAGACATAAAAGGACGCTTTATTTTTCTTCAGATAAACAAAAAATATCTATGTGTAAATAAATAATAAAGTATCAATGCCAGAGTGAATGAATAAATAAATTTTCACATTGTATCCACCAGTTGTTAATCTGTCAAAGGTAGACCTGGACTGAAAAGACACTATGTAAAGTTTCTTAATTTGGCTGCCTAATCTTGCTACCTTTCAGTCTAAGCAATCCCTTCGGTGGAAGGAAACACTTTGCATTTTGCGTATCAGTGCCGAGTCATAGCGATCTTTGCCAAAAACGTTCTTGACGGAACGGTAGTAGCCATCTGTAGATTGTTCACTGACGCTCCTTACTTTGAAGCGATGAAAGGGATGCAGCCAGCTGACGAGCCTCTTAAAGAGTGAACAGTATTTCAATGGATCTTTCGTGAATTATGCTTTTTTCTGGGAAAAAAAAAAGACACTACAAGGTTTAGGAAAATTTAGTGAACCTAAAGAGAAAGCATTTGCAACGGTAATTAAATAAGGTGGAATCATCATAAACAATTAGCTGATGAGAACTCACAGTAAAAACAAGAAAACGACCAGCCGGGGGCGTGGAAAACGGAAAGGAATGAGTCGCAACTGGTTTATTTCCACTACCAGATTGGTCGACAAAATGAGACGCGTTTTCTTTACCAAATAAGGCCACTATAAAGCAAAATCAATGTAATCCCAGGTAAAATCAGTTTTCAACTGAGTGACCAATTGGAACAAAGGTTTACATTGGAATAAGCCAATAAGAACACAGTAAAAAAAGGCAAACCGTCGGAAGCGCGGGAAAACGCAAATAAGCAAGTCGCGATTATTTTTTTTTTCTTGCATCTGATTGGTTGAGAAGATAGCGCGAGTTTTCTGGACCCCATCATAGAGCAAAGTAAAAGGCACAACCAAAGCGATCCAGGATTGCTTTTGACACTCAGTTGAAAACTGTTCTTTTTTCGACACAACTGAACATTTCGAATAAGCTTGGACGAATCAATCGACTTTTAATTAAAACTTTGCGTCTCTCTTTGCCTTTGTGTTATTCTCTAACAAAATCGTCCATCCATCATACCTTAACAGAAGGCATCCTCGTCTTCCATAAGATCGTGCATCTCTGGTAACTTTCTTGAAGCTTGCAAAACACAGAGCCACACCATATCGTGATTTTCTCGCGTGTCACCCGGCTCATCTCACGCAGTTTATCCAAGCAGCCAGTAAAATCGATCCACTTCCAACAAGAGACGTTTCTGTTTGTCGATTCTTCCACAACGTCTGCGTACTCCTCCTTGCCAAAAGCTTTCAAGTTCGCCTTACTCTTATCGCGAACTCGACATAAAGACAGCGTGCTAGAGGTGGAGAAGAGAAGAATGTAAGGTTGCGAAAACGTCCATTTAATCTATGGCGGTCATAAAGAGAATACTAATTTATCCCCCCCTGCCTCGTTTCCAAAAGAACAAAAAAGAGGCAGCTTTTTCCGTTTCAATCTCGTTTGTTCCTTACCAGAACTTTCTTCCAGTCCCTCTCCACCAAACTTTGAACACTAGACACGTGACCACCGTAAAGAGAAGAGCATTTATGAGAGTGGTGGGCGCAGTTTGTCTATGAGCTTCCCTCAAGTTCCGTATCAGCGGATAAAGGAAGCCCCACGTGATCTCTGGCTTGAAATTTGGCTGAAACAAAAACTTCATACGTCATTTAATGCTGCGATGTGAGCTCAACTGTGTTAAAGAATTAAAATTTAATATTTCAAAGTGAAATTAAGCTATGAATCCGTAAAATGACTCTCTTCGCTACAATAGACACAATAAACATGCTGTAATTAATTTCCCCCTCTCTTTGGGAGACAAGCCGAGATAGAATTCCATTTGATCACAGAATTTCGACACCTGACATATTTCGATCCTCTTGTTATCACTTAGAAGAAATGCTTTTCTCTTCTTGTTACGAGCTTGAAACGAAACAAAGTTACCCATGAGGAACTGAAAATCAGAGCTGAGCTATTACAGAGATCCCTGCAATAGGCTGGGATATGCGAAACGCGTCTCACATACTGCTAATATGAGCAATGCCGTCGTAAAGAGAACAAGAATATTAAATAATGTTTAGCTCGGTATTGAAATAGAGAAATACGTTTTTTCGTCTTGTCGTGTTATCTTTTCTCCGGCATAGTCTTGTGTATCGACATCGGTGTAATTTTATTTTTGATATGAGGTCCTCTAAGAAAAGAACTGTTTAGAATTTGTAACCAGCTTTATGACTTTTTACCCGGTAAATTCTCTGTTTCTCCAGTATATTCTCCAATGTCGACATAGAGTTGTTACTGACGACGAATGGTAAATATTCTTTGTTGAATTCCCGCGTCCACCAGGCTTTCTCGCCTCTGTTGAGAGTAACATTCAACAAAGTAAGTGACTAGGTGTAATTTTCAATTTATTGTCTAAAGTAATCCGGGATCGCTTTGTTTTTGTTTAACTTCAATCTGTGATTGGTCCAGAAAACTCACGCCACTCTCTGAACCAATCAGATGCAGAACTTAAACCAATCACGACTTGGTGGCCCGCGTTTTCCCGCGCTTTAGGCAGTTTATTTGTACTTTGAGTTCTCATTGGCTCTTAAAGTATTTTCCTTTCGTCTGATTGGCCGTTGTGATTTCTTTGGTTTTACGACTCAATCGAAAAGCGTCGTACGGCTCCATCAAGGCAGTTGAGAAAGTTCCATATGTCGCCGTATGATTACCTTGGATGGAACAAAACTTCCCACAGACTTGAAGTGCTCCTGGTGTAATGATATAGAAACAGTTGCGCTCGGATGAACCGCGGTGGAGTTTCCTTGAAAGGATTTTGACCCATCAGCTGTAAGACATCGGTACGTCCTTTCATTAGTTTATGAATCAAGCTCAGAAACCATGGATTTTCAGAGTAGGATTCAAGCGCTGCGAACCACATTTGCCAGTCCAAGCGAGGCTGGTGAGGTGCTGCAGTGATACAATGATTTAAGCAAAAGTCACAGTGCTGAGTAAGTTCCAAAAAAAAAAAACAACAACATTTGGCACAACCTTAAGTCATTTTGAAATCCTCTCCTTTGCATATGATGCCCTTGCGTAGCAGTTTTTCCATTTCCCTTAAAGTGCACCTAAACCCAAAATTTTTTTTTCGCTTAACGAAATAAGCTTATTTTTTGGAGTATTTCTGTGCAAAAATTTTTTAATTTGCTCAAATCTTTAATTTTCTATGCCCAGTCAAAATACGGAAAATCGGCCGCCATCTTGCCCCACGACCGAGTTTAAAGAAGAATGGCTCTAGCGGGTAATGTAACGTCAAATCGAGAACACTGAAGTCTGCATCTCACACATTTTCACTTGTTTGGGAAGATTGTCGCCGATATTGTCCGAAATATGCCGACTAGGTGTGTTGTATGAAGAATGTATGAAGCGCGATACCCTCTTGCAAATTTCGCACGTTGCTACATCCTTCTACAACACACTTAGTCGGCATATTTCGGACAATATCGGCGACAATCTTCCCAAACAAGTGAAAATGTGTGAAATGCAGACTTTCGTGTTCTCGATTTGACGTCACATTACCCACTAGAGCCATTCCTCTTTAAACTCGGTCGTGGGGCAAGATGGCGGCCGATTTTCCGTATTTTGACTGGGCATAGAAAATTGGAGATTTGAGCAAATAAGAAAATTTTTGCGCAGAAATACTCAGAAAAATAAGCTTACTTCGTTAAGCGAAAAAAATTTTTTGGGTGTAGGTGCACTTTAAGTCCTTAAGCTTACTTTTCCCATTTTCGCCCCATGCCCTCGCGCGGCTCAAGTTCTCCACTGGGATAAAAGGAAACGGGAGAGGATCCCTTATTGGGCGAGATTTATACCAGAAAGTTTATTTTGATAAGTTCAGAATAAGTAAAGTTTTGTAGAACAACTGTTCTCTACACATATAAACGAACAGAACTAATCAACTTCACTTGCAAATGAAAACACTAAATTTTGTTCCCAGAAAGTTTTTGCGTGAAGGACATCTCAAGTTTTGGAAAAAGAAGTTTTCAAGGATAACACTTGTTGTATAAATTCCAATATATATATTGGTAAAAGGGAAACTCGCTTAGGTAAATGTGACCTAAAATGTGACATCCCCTTCCAGTACGCCAGTATGGAGAAAATACTCTCTAGCCATAATATACTCACCAACAAATGGCGGTGGCTGATAAACGTTGCCAGGTTTGTATAAGAAGTTGTATTCCTGAAAAAAGGGAATAAAGCCTACAATTACCTATACAAATTACACTTTGCAAAGATTACAAAGAGCTAACCGTTCAACATCATCTAGAAAATGTATACAATCAACTCTCAGACGAACAATCCCTCAGACGATATATTCCAAACATTACTTTGGCTATTTCCAAAACAGTTAATATTCCTAAATATCACTGTAAGGCGAACAAAGCTCTGGTTTATAGGCAACCACTTTCACGGACAAAATTTTGTAAATTGTAGGGAGTGTTCAGTAAGAAGTAACTTCACAAAGATTCATTCAAACTTGCTCTATTATGAAGGGGACTGGATCCTACCTCCCAAGGACCGTCCATTGAGTTGCTGCCTATGATGATAATCTCGGGCCGACCACCAACCCCAGTCATACTATGGAACAATAAATTATATATCAGTTGTCAGTGGGGTACACGACGCATGGCTACAAGGTAAGCACGCTGAATAATGAGCGCAACAATGAAGACAAAGATATGGCGGTTTTATAGCGCATTTTCATGAGTTCTCATGCTCTCTCGGGACAACAATCTGTGGACGTCTTCAATTAACCATTTACAAACACAGGAGGGAAATCTTTGCATATGCCTCCAATTTTAAAACAAGACCAGACTACCACTCCTGAACACCGTATCTGACTTTTTATAAAGGTTTTCTCCAATTTGAAATGATAGCAGAGAAGATGCAGGAGACGGGGCTCTTGACTCATCGTCGTTAACGGGGAAAAACTACAATATCTTTTCCAGATGTCATCCTACAAGCAGCATATTCTTCTCAGATATCATGAGACCCTGTGTGTTGCTCCGCTTTTGGGCCTCGGGCCCGTTTCTCGAAGTCTCGGTAGTTACAAGTCCCGAAAAGCTATTTTCGTTTGCCATTTTTACATTCAAGAACGAGATATTTGAAGTTTTGAAATTAAAACACTAATCAATTTTGAGCTAAGAATCCCACTGCTGTTTCTTAGAAAGGATCCTGAAATATGGTTTTGGACCCCGCCGTAAAGTAACCGGGTTTTAAAAGAAAAAGACCCTCCAATGGTCAACCTCCCGCAAGGTACGCCGGTACTGCAGTAATCCGGTGCTCCGGTAGTTCGGTGCTATACCAACTACACTAACCGCTCACTGGTTGTTAAGAGTCATGCAAGATAAACCTCCCACCTTCTGAATAAGCCGTAAGCATTGGTCAGCTCCAGATAAGCCGTATGTCGATACAAATTAACAAACGTCTTGGGAAGGCTTCGCTGGACAACACGATCAACTGCTGTGAGTGAGTACTGAGGATTAGATGCAAACGGAAAGCAATCAGAAAAAATCAATAGAAAATAAAATTATCCAAATTAAAGTTATAATTTGAATAAATCAACAAAGTTGAAATGGTAAATTGGCCACCGTTACTATTATAAAAGCTGACGTTTCGAGCGTTAGCCCTTCGTCGGAGCGAATAGGGGAATTGTGGGTTGTGTGTGCTTTTAAAGGCAGAAAAAGGAGCTACGTAATTGGTGGGAACATTCGTGTTTTTCTCGGACATCGAGTCTTACTCATCGATTCCTACTCACCAAGCTGACAGAAAACATCAATAAACCCACGACAGACCAGAAGAGACACTGAAACAACTGCCACGCCTTAGTACGCTTGCTGCACTGCTCCAAAAGGCACCTAAAACGCGACACATAATTTTCAACACAAACATAAAAACGTTCTCCATAGTTGAATGAAAAAAATGATATTGTTGCATGACTGGATATTTCCCCCAACAGCACACGATCTAACGTGACATCCAATAATGAAACTGTTTCCCGCCAAACGTCTCTGAACCCGCTGTTACCCGCGTATTTTGACCGACGACCGCTTCGAGGCAATATTTCCTGACAATCCACTTCGGGAAAAATTGAGATTCTCGGGAAAGAAAGTGGTAAGTGTCTATTTTTGACCTGCGGATGAAATACAAGCAAAGAAATAATCCAGCATGATCATTTTCTTTGCTTGTTCTCGATAGTTACTGCACAAAGCCCGTCTTTGGGCAATTAAAAGTAGGTTTACGGATATAAAATCTGTAAAAAGAGCGTGGAGAAACAACACTCAAATTCAAAACCACCAAAGAGGATCTTCGCTTGAGTTACAAATCTATTTCGCACTACGCATGTTACCACCTCACCTAGTAAACGCTCCCAGTATTTCGATTAAAAGAGACAAAAAACCCATCCACAATGCAAACTGTGTGGCGAATTGAACTGTGTTTACAAGCTGTTCAGGTGTAAATGCTAGAAAAAAAGGAAATGTGTTGATTTAATTGTAGCTTCATGAGATAAACTTAGCTCAAACTTACCACATATTGACGCGACAAAGTTAATCGTTTACCTGTTTTGCAGTGGATAGGTTCGTCTTTTGTGATCTTAATACTGAACCACTTGACGGTGCAAACAATGATAATTATCAAAACGAAAACAAACGAGATTGAGATAGAGGCCAGCTTTATCCAACCAAACATTTTGCTGTGCAGGAAATCCCTCGCCTGAGTGAATTTGGAATTCTCATGAAGCGAGTTCATCCAGTGTAAGACATACTCCACAAGTTGAGAGGTTGTTGAACTTTCTTCTGTTAAGAGAATTAGGGCAAAAATAAACTGACAACAACTCGATTAACACTGAATAAGTTACACAAGCGAACGTGAATGCTCATAAAGAAGGAAGACTGGGGAATGGGGAGCAGAAGCCCCGGATCAACGGCCGGATCTGAGCAACTGCGCACCTATCCCTCCCTTAACCCAACATCAACTTTAACTTCTTATCAGCTGACTGTTGTTGGGTTGGGGGGGGGAGGGTAGATGCTACTACCCAGATACTGACAATGATTCAACTGTTGTTTAAAATTCCCATCAAGCACTGCTAAGGCCACTGTCTTTGCCAACGCCTTCATGACTCGGTATCTTAGAAACGAAATTGTCACGAAACCGCTTACCACAAAGACAAATGCATTTCAGTCAAGACAGGCTATAATTAGTTCTGAATTCTTTTAACTATCTCTAACGTTGCAAAATTATTTCTTACAAAGAGCTTCGGAGAAAATGTGGCAT